AGGGATTTGAGGAGAAGATAGGGCCTTTACTAGATATTGCACATGATTCCAGTTGCACGGTCCCTATTGTAGCTGAAGTAACGCGTTTTTTGACACACTATCTTCTTTGGTAATTGTATTCTTCATTTTGTAATTGTGTTGCTTCTTTGGACAATATTGAGCAGTGTGCTTAGCTTCTCCATAATATAAATACAATCTCTCTTGGCAACGTCGAGTCCTTTTCTGCTTCATGAGAGGTTTAAAATGTATCACATCAATTTACATTGGTTCCGGCTTTGATGAATATGTTTCAAAAACTTGGGAGCTGCTGCCATTACTTGACTTGTTCCTCTTCAACTAAATCTTTGTTCATGATGCCTTTCAAATAAACGATTATTGTATGTAATGGCTTGAATAATAAATTGTTCCAAAGATTTTACTTTCGACATTATTAATAACAAATCTTTGACGCTATCCTTCAATCCATATCAAAATTGGTTGATAAGTGCTTTGTCGTTCCAGTCCACATCGCAAGCAAGATTTTGGAATTCGGCAATGTTTGTAGTGGCTGATCATGATCCTTGTAGTAAGGATAGAAGCTTGGTCTCTGCTACTCGTTTTTTATCACTTTCTCTGAATGTGGCCATAAATACTTCTAGAAATGAATTCAAATCATAAAAGAGTCATAAATCTTTTTCTATTAAAGGTGCAAATCAAGAGAGAGCACTTTTTGATAGTACTGCGCCTATAAATCTGACTTGAATAAATCCATCTGGATATTGAAAAGGGTGCAACCTTAGATAGAGCTTGACTTGTTGCAAAAATCCTTGAAATTTTGATCTTGTTCCATCAAACTTCTCAGGCATACTAATCCTTGTCCTTATCATACTTGTAGAAGCAAAACTCCCTGGATTTGGTTGTGACGTTGATCTACTTGCTTCTTTCAACTGTACAACTTCTTGTCGTAGACTTTGAACTTCTTCCATAGGTATAGGCATAGTACTTCTATGATTCATGTTGGAAATATGTGAGACTTCCACTCTTAGAGTGTTGACAAGCTCATGAAGATCTGCCATAGTTGCAAATCTATTCTCACTTCCATTGAGAGTAGCATCCATAATCTATCCTTCTATAGACAACTCAAACGAATTCAAAAGTTAAATTAGAGGAGGATAATCCACAATTTCTAAAAAAAAATCCTACAAAGAGAGGTAATCTACTCTCTTTAAAGAAAAGATCACTGTTAGAAAACAAGATTTTTTGTTTAAAGGTGGATAGTCCACAACCTTCAAAATACAATAAAAGAAGTGGGATAATCCACTCACTTCTAAAACAAGCCACAATTAATATGTAAGCACTCTTGTCGAATTGTCAAGGACATGAATCTCGAAGAAAGGAAATCTTCAATACACTCTTCTATCACTAAAGAGAACTAGAAAGTCACTCAAAAGGTGATGTAATATTAACTAGAATGGCTATTGCCAAAAACAAGAAGACTAGAAAGTCTTGAAACAAGATTAAGAGTAGAAAGGCATTAATAAGAGTGAAGAAGACTTCACTCTTGCCTCCATATATACTATCTAACTAAGAGCTATGTGGCAATATCCTATACGACCTCCAACATGTGTTGACTTCACTAGCCACATGTCTTATCTTGTAAGGCAAGTTATCTATGTATACGCCACATAGTTGGCTTGTTCCACAAGCTATTACACGGAGGTAACTTGTTGTACAAGCTACCAATACATGGTTAGCTTTTTGGCCAAGTTTCTAACCTACGAACACATCTAAAGTCAAAACCGTGTCTATGAAGCTTCTAGAAAGCTATTTTAGAAGACTTTATGAAATTATTCTATATTTATCTACTTTTACTTCATCATATAAATAACTATTAAGGTAAATATATATGTCCTTGATAATGAGACACTATAGATGGTTTAGAGGACCTATCAATCATCTTCAAAGAGAGCAAAGATTGGAGTATGTGTCAAATATAGTTAGCTGCATCTTTGACTTCCTCAACATATGAAGACCGCTCTTCATAGAACTCGTCCCTAGAGGAGGGTGTTATGTCACAAACATGTACATTTATCTCAATAGTTACTTATATGATTAATTAGAAGTTGGAAAATATTGAATAATTTTATAAAGTCTTTTAGAAAAGCTTCGTAAAAGCTTCTTAGATGTGGTTTTGACTTTAGATTTGTTTGTAAGTTAGAAATTTCGCCAGAAAGCTAACCATGTATTGGTAGCTTATGGAACAAGTTATTTCCATACAATAATTTGTGGAACAAGCCAATTACATGGCCCATACAAAAATAACTTGCCTTGCAAGATAAAACATGTGGCTAGCAAAGTCAACACATGTTGGAGGTCTTAGAGGAAATTGCCACATAATTCTTAGTTAGATAGTATATATGGAGGCAAGAGTGAAGGCTTCTTCACTCTTGTCAACGCCTTTCTAGTCTTAGACTTATTTCAAGACTTTCTAGTCTAAGTCTTATTTCAAGACTTTCTAGTCTTCTTATTTTTGGCAATAGCCATTCTAGTTAATATTACATCCCCTTTCGAGTGACTTTCTAGTTTTCTTCAGTAATAGAAGAGTGTATTGAAAATTCTCTTTCTTCGAGATTCATGTCCTTGATAATAAGTCAACAAATACTTGTGCCAAATTATAATAAAAAATAGACAATATATATAGAATTTTTAAAATTTTAAATAACAACTATCTAATTTATACTTTAACATTTTTACTTCATGAAATTGACATCTATGTATCTTTGTAGACATTGATGTTGGATAACTATCTCAAATCTTATAAGAAATTCATCAATAAATAATCAATTATTAGAAGTCCCAAAATATTGGTCAGATGCATAGAAGATTAAGAATTTGGTATTTTTTTTTAAAGTCAAAATTATTTATGTACAATTAGATATGGTTAAAGATTTGTGATTTATTAAAATATTCTTGTATGTGGAGCTATATATAGTATTTATTCATCTAATACTATATACTATTTGGATATTTATTTTGCTACAACTATTTTTTTATTATATTTAATAAAGAATGTACCCAATTAATAATATAAAAACTTTACACATGGATAAAAAAACCATGTCTTAAGTTATTATAATAAATCTTCCTTATCCACTACTTATAGATAATGTACCAAACAAATCGAAGATTGATATAAATAATATGAAATTTTATATCAAGAACATCAATTATGACAGTTGTTACTGATGGCACTGAATTATAGTGGCATTGAATAAATGTTAAGATCAATTACAACTATTGGTATAGGAGGTTGTTTGTATTAATGTAATATTTTCGACCTTCTCCATATTGTATAACTAACTTTGGCTAAGACTCACTTTTCCTCACTTTGAATCATTTTGGCTCTCACGTTGTCGTATTGTGGTTCGGCTACTATATGAAAATAATGTAATTATGTACTTAATATATAATTTATTAAGTAATATAGTGAGAGCCATGTTAGTAGATTTTAGTTGGTTGTAGAATATAATTTGATTATTACTTTGAGAAGAGGTTGTTTAAAAAGATTACTATAGAATTTGTATAACTTTAATTTCCTTTTAATAGTGGCTTTTAAGATTAGTTTTGATTGATAGTAACTTCTAAATATTTAGAGTCACCTTTGTTAGACATTGGTGACATTTGAAAACTTATTTTGGTTCTTTTATTTGGTGTTTAGAGCATAAATTATGTAAATCTTATAAGAAAAAGGATTGAAGAAGGATTTTGGTACCAAAGGGAGTAATTAGGGCACCAATATAGATGAATGGAGATGAAAAATAAAAAATCTCCATTCCTATTGGTCAAAAATCATGACCAATGGGCTTTGAGGAGGCTGCCTGAGGCCATATTAGGGATTAGGGTTAGTTTCTCGAGCCCATTCGAACTTTGAAGGCTAGGATCAGAAGGTTTAGGTTTTTGGTTAAGGTTTTGGTGCAAGCTTTGTGTCATTTGGGGTTTTTATGAAGAAGTTATAGGCACTCAAAGTTAAGATGTTAGTTTTGGACCTACTGTCACTCTTTTGGGCATAACGCATGCGTACAGATGGCAATTGAGGATCGGCGACTGCGATTAGAGAGAGCACTTTTGCGGCTATATTTTTTGCATAATGCTTACTGGATTCTAAGTTGGGATGAAGGAGTTATTAGATTTTGAAGTCAGCACATGCAATCTAAAGGTAGTAAATAAACCGATTTACTAGTGTTTGTCTCTTGAGCTATATCTTGAGCAATTTGACAAGGTTTTGGCTCAAAATTTCAAGGAATGTGTAATTTCATGTTAGTAAACTTTGTGCATAAGTTTTATGACATTTGGAGTTCGGATTTTTGAGATATAAGGAAAATAGTTTTTCGGGTGCTTGTTAATTAGGGTTTGGAGTGTCTACTAGGGTTTCTTAGATGCCAAAAGATTAGGAGTGGATTTGCGGTTGGTTTTTTTGTGGCAAAAGTTAAAGGTAAATTAAACCTATCTTGTAAATTTGAAACAAACTAAACGGTTAGATCAATAGTTATGATTTTCTAAAGTTCGGGGCAAAAAAACCCTTCGCGGGAAAAATATGTTTTGAAGGGATTTTGTTATATTTGGAGTTTTATACAAAAATAAAGGAGTTTTGGAAGCCAAGAAAAGAATCATATAAAGGTTTAAGGTACACTCTCTAGAGCTAGATACCCAGTGTATTCCCAGATAGCAAATCACGCCATACGACAACTTTGAATCTTAGTCAGAGGGCTCATGCAAGAGCATGCATAGAAAGTATTTACTAAAATCACCCAAAATCCATTCATGGCCAGTTTTCTTCACTGTAACTAAATGAATAATAATAATAATAATAATAAGTAGTGAGAGTAGTTTTACCCGGGTGGTGTGAAAAGGGAATGCGTGTGCGCACAAACACACACATGATTTGAGAGGAGAAGTGTAGCACACAAAGCGACGAGGCGAGGCAAGTGGGGTCATCGCCATGTGCGTTTTTCTAGCCCCTGCAATTCCACATCGGGAGCTATTTGCGCTCGCTCGTCGATCTTCTCGCTCGCTTGTCCCTTCCCCCCCACTCTTTGCATTCAACTCCCTGCTCTCCACATCAAGCATCTCGCAATTTGGCATCGCTTGCTCTCAGGGTCACAAATAGGCAACACGGAAGGAGCTCTCCACATCAAGCATCTCGCAATTTGGCATCGCTTGCTCTCAGGGTCACAAATAGGCAACACGGAAGGAGGGGGAATGTTCCATTTTTAGTGTCGATGGTTTGAATCTGGAAGCTTTTCCGTATTCGCACGACAAGTTTCAAAGGATTTTGAGTAGTTATCACCTCTCGATGCAACTAAGGTGGTGGTGCGAAACGCTTGACAATCGGAGTGGCTTTCCCTGGCAGCTGAGATCGGTTGTAGTCGCGTTGCAGATCGCTGTTCCATTGGGTCTCCCATTGATTGCTCCGCGGATGTGAGTGTCTGGTGTTGTGTGTTGTTTATTATTCGTTTGTTTTCTTTGTATGTGCGAATATGGTTGTTTTCAGTCGGTGTTGGGCGAGCTTGCACAGGTCTTGATTGTAATCGCGAGGTTCAGAACAACTATGCGAAGCGCATTGAATCTTATTGAAAAGGACTTAATAAGGTCTGTGGTCTCTGGAGCCGAGGATTGGTAGCGAGAACTTCTGTCACTGGAAAGATTAATTGCTGGTGCGATCGCGCAACTGAATCCCTCTGTTTTGCAGCTGTGATTGATCAACCATGACCTCCATGACCGCGATGATGGTTGCAGCCGGGACACCAATCTCGTTCTCTCGCCCGGCTCCTTCTGGACCCGGTCCAGCTCGTCTCGGTCACCACGGTGCATCGATTGCACATCTTGGTCGTTCGCCACGTCTGTTCTGGACGAACGTCCAATCTGCTCTATCTTTTCCACCCGCTTGTCTTCTCTTGGGAGGAGCACTTTACTCCGCACTGCCCCTTATTGTCACTAAGGCATCTGCTTCTGGCTCACTGGATGCGGATAATGGAGGAGGTGGAGCGGGGGGTTGGCAGGGAAGAGGTGGTGGTGGCGGCGGTGGGGGCGGGGGAGACGAAGGCAACGGTGAATTCGACGACAAGAATCACGATGATGAAGTCAGAGCAGGAATCTTTGAAGCTTTTCGGAGGGGCTGGAGGGAGAGGGTGAGGGCAGACCCTCAATTTGGCTTCAAGGTTTTCTCCGAGGTAGTTATCGGCGTCGCAGCGTGTGTGGCCGGTGACATGGCCTCACGTCCCAATTTCGGCCTTAACGAGCTCGACTTTGTCTTCTCAACAATCGTGGTAGGATCCATTCTCAATTTTACCCTAATGTACATGCTTGCGCCTACGGCAGCCGCAGGTCAAGTCTCCCAGAAGCTCCCGCTTCTTTTCGCAGCCTGCCCTCCAGGGCACATGTTCGAACCTGGAAAATACTCTTTATTGGATCGCGCCGGCACTTTTGTATACAAAGGCGTGCTGTTTGCGACCGTGGGGTTCGTCGCAGGGTTGGCTGGCACCGCGCTCTCGAACATGCTCTTGTCTATTCGGAAGAAGGTGGACCCGAAGTTTGAGATCCAGAATAAGCCTCCTCCCACGGTGCTGAACGCCTTGACGTGGGCGGGACACATGGGACTGAGCTCCAATGCGCGCTACCAAACCCTAAATGGGTTGGAGTTCGCCTTGGCAGGCATTTTGAATCCCACGGCGTTCAAATCCTCTGTGTTTGTGCTACGAGGATTGAACAACGTGCTCGGGGGAATGACTTTCGTCCTGCTGGCGAGAAAGACGGGATCACAAAGTGCCCCGAGCCCTAAACCTGATCTGGAAGACGCTCTTCTCGCTGAGAAGATCATTTGATCAGCCACATAGCAGGTCTCTGATTTCATCGCCTCATGAATCAAACCCACCCAGATTCGCAAACGCTGCAACAAGTGCGTGCCCCTTGCTTGCTAGGATCTGACACCAGCTCAAACCATGGCGGTGGATCGCATATCATCAGGTGCCACCAAGTCTTTGCTCGACGTCCTTGTACCAGTGACGTCGACTTGAAGGGGTTAGAAAAGGCTCCGAGTGTGATGAGTCAGGGACTGCAAGAGTGATTGACTGAGCATCGAGGTGGCTTTATCAGTCAGTCGAATTGATTGTGTGTGAGGGAATTCATTATTGGCGCAGCTTGCCTCGAAGAGACTGAGTTGCTGTGCTTAACCACAGCATGAGTTTTCTGCTCTTTTGGATTAAACGGTTTCGGCAATCAACTTTCAACTTGCAAGTTGATAGCTGATTCTACCAGCTTCATGGCTTTTGTTATTAACATCCATTCAGGATCTCGCGGCGTTCAGTGTAGAATAGTTGTAAGAATGTAGAAGTTTGTAGCATTTTTGTGCACCCTAGAGTGTTGAATCTGTCACTTGGTTGCACCGGGGTGGTTTACTTATGTTCATATGATCTGTATTACAGTGGAGCATGTGTAAATTATAGATCTATTGTAGGTCTGATACAATATGTTTGTTGAGGGAAGTAATGGAGAGATATAGCATAGGTGAAGTACTGTACATTAAGGAACTAGATTGCAGAAGAGCTAATTGACATGAATAATGACTGTCCAGAAGTGTGGTCTGTGTAACAACTGGTTCGTAATGAGACATTTTTGTGTATTGAGGTTGCGTGATTGGTTTTTTTCTCCATGTACAGTTTCCATGTCCTCTATAGTCTTAGTTAACTTTTTGCCACTCCTTTCAAAAGATTCATTTGAAAAAAGATGTCCTCTCTATTACAAAAACCATGATCTTGGTCTGAATCTCCATCATAACCAGACGATTGACTGAAATTCAAAAATATACTTCAGGAGTAAAAAAAATTGATTCATCAATCAACCTGGTCCCTGATGAATTGAAACATAAAAGTAGATGTTTTACAGAATATGTCATTTGCAAAAATGTGAAATCTGATTAAAAAGTATAGCCACTCCCTGAAACTATCCACATCTACTATCCTGGGTTTAAAGATTAAATTCTAGTATTTTTTTTTTTTTTAATTGTAAAGATGTGATCTTTATTACTTTGTTAAATTGAATGTGGTATGATTGACTGAAGACTTCATTTACATGATATTTTAAAGACCAACAAAAGAAGTAAGTAATGACTTCAAAACTTGATAGCAACAATATTTTTTGTCTTGTTTTTAGTCAAATTTTAATTTTTTGAATTGTGTTTTTGTACATTGGTACAAGCATATTTGATATGTAGTATAGGATAATCATCATATTTATAGGGGAATGATAAAGTGACCCAAATTTTTACTAAAATGACCCACCCAATCTGAAGCATCATTACACCCTTGGAGCCCCATCCCTATTCCTAGCCATTCCCCATTCCCAACCATTGCTAGAGTCAGGGGTGAGGGGCTAAGAACATCGGAAGCGGGGGTGATGGTTGGGAATAGGGAAACAGTTGGGAACGGGGAATGGGGTATGTGGGTCAATTTATTATTTCCTTAATTATTAGGTGGTATACATCACTGGTTTCACTAGACACAAATAATATAATGCAAAATCAAAGACAAACATATTTTCACAACACCAAAGAACAAAACACGAAGTGAGTGGTTGGACCTAAGACCAAACACTGATGAGAACACGGTCAGATAAAAAGTTGATTCATCATCGCCTCACAGTCATGAAAGACGGTCCAATATTTTTGACCACATACACAAGCAACCCAGTCCAATCTCATTGATGTATAAACCCGAGTGCAAAAACCTTTGAAATCAGAATAATATTATACTCCACATGCTGAAGTTCCAACCGTTGATCATGCATCAGTCGACAAGTAGCATTTTCGACCAAACCAGAAAATTAGGTGAAATCTGCACAGGGAGTTGAGCTTCGACACATGCTTGGAATGATCCATTTCTGTGGGGCCATGGACACTGCAGAAGAAGAAAAAATATGCGAAAGAATGTCAAAGGAAGGCGCTAAATAAAGCAGAAGCAGGGCCCATAGGGGTTTTACAAATCTCACGTTGGCCTTCGTCTTTGACAATGTCAACTGTCAACGCGTGCTGAGGGAGAGAAAATGAGCTTCTGGGTACACCAGCTTTGCGCAATGATATGGCGGGCCATGCACACTAATCGCACTAGAATCGGAAGAACGGCGAGGAAACGCTGCTGCAATGGGGAAAAAGAAAAACGAAGCTTTTGGTGCTTCAGGAAAGATTTCAACGCAGTCAAAGGTAGTAGTTGACGGCACACAGGACCAATGTGTTCTGCCTGCTGAAATCAATTGCTCGCCGAACGAGGAAAGTTGTTCAGAAGTCGTTTCACTATGCCTGGTGTGATGAATCTTTGCCAGCTTTTCCCGGAGTCTGCGTCTGGTAAAAACCGGAGGAAGTAAGGAATCATAGTGTTTTCATGACTTTCCAGGCGCTTTTGGAATTCAGACCACCAACTGGTCCCGCTGTCGTCGTGACTTTGTTGCAGTGGTCAATGTTTTGTTCAGCAAAGGCTGTAGCATCCAGCTTTGAAGGATTCCTGTCAATTGAGGCTCGAGGTCTGCACATTCGCATTGCCATAAGAAGTGTATCTGTCGGTCGACGAGAGCACGGGAAGTCGATCGAAGCAGCAGCCATCAAGCCATCGTTTTGCCTCCCCAATTTCCAGGTTAGACCTCGCTCTCGTTTCCGTTGCGGATCGCTTTGATGAAACTCTTGAGATTGTTCTCGATCTGTGTGTGTGTGCGTGTGTGGAAGAGAGAGAAAGAAGGCTGGCACATCAGTGTAGATGTGTGCAATTTTCGAAGGTTTGAAGTTCATCAGCTTCAGCTTTTGTTCGTAGGTTTGCCTGACTACCAATCCACCGTTCAATAGTTGTGATTTCAGCAAGTTTTCCGACAAAAATTGGGGATAGAGGGATCGGACGTTTGTGGGTTCGTATTGAGGCAGGAGAAACACGGATACTGAGTGATTCTGTTTTATTTCCAGGGAATTCCACAACAAACACAACTATTCCCAGTTTTTGAACCAAGAGAGGAGTTGATTGTTGAAGATCATTCGTGAAGTGAGAGCGTCGAGATGGGTCTCCAAGTTGTGAATGTAGAAGGCATCGACTTCGCCACCAAGTTCGCACCTCCGACATCTTCCACCGAGCTGGACTTGATCGGCCATGGTAAGCACATGAATCTTACTCCAAAAAATACGTAGTTCATCAAAAATTTCATTCCGATCCTGTGGAATACTCATGATCAGGAGCGAACTTGCAGGCAACACGGGAATGGAGATTGAGACTGTGGAAATCAGGTTTACTGCCATGGGCTTCTACGCAGAGCCAAGCATCAGCGAGCATTTACAGAAGTGGAAGGGCAAGGCAGTCAGCGAGCTTGTTGAGGACGACAGTGGCTTTCACAAGGAACTCATCCAAGTTCCGGTGGAGAAGGCGGTGCGAATCTCCATCATCAAAGGGATCAAGGGCCTCCCCTATGGCAGCGCCCTGCAATCTTCCTTGAGGGATCGGCTAGTGAATGACGACAAGTTCGAAGAGGAGGAAGAAGAAGCTCTGGAAAAGCTCGTTGAATTTTTCCAGCCGCACAATTTGCCAAAGGGTGCCAACATTATTTATCACTGGGCAACCCCCGACACTGTCAAGGTACTGCACTTTTTGCATTAATGTCTTCCAACAATCCCCTCCACTCATTCACCATCAGTATGTCTCGGTTTGTGCCAGCTTAAAGATTGTAGAAGCAAAAAGATTGTCCAATTTGTCAAACATTAGGGGGTCATAACAGAGATCTACGAAGTATTAAGCACAGAAGATAATTCATAATGTATAAAAAGAATTCTCCGAAGCAGGTTACATATCGAGAATCACAGTATATCTTAGTTCATGCAGGTTTAACTCACCAAATCTCCAAGAAACAGCCAATTCTTAAGTTCCTTGAAGCATTAAAGAGCCAATTCGTGATTGGATATTTTACAAGAAGTTGGAAAGTACCCAAATAATGAACTGGAAACTCATTTGCTAACACTGACGATTTGTGTTTTCCAGATTTCTCTCTCTGAGGAGGGTAAAATCCCCGACGAGGTATCTTACACGATCGAGGATGCTAATGTGGCGGAAGCATTGTTAGACCTTTACTTGGGCGAGAACACAATCACACCCTCTACCCTCTCCTCAGTAGCTGAAGCCATTGCTGCCCAGGTTGCATGAGAAAGATACGAAGGCTTCCAGATACCAAGATGCAACGAAGGTCAAGGCTGTCAAGCTCTTGTTTGTACATGAGAATATTGAACAGTGTCTAGCTACAAAACCTTGCGCTTACTTTCTTCTAAACCTCATAATGTCCAGTAGAATATTAGGGCACAACAAGAAGGAATTATTCATTTATTTACAGTACAACCCGATAAACTTAGCGTAGGTGTGATGACTATTTCAGCCTGTGGTTTTTATGAAAACTACCACCGCTTGTATCTCTACATGCTGCAAACTCACTTATTGGTTATAATCACATCAGCATTATTTCAATTCCCGTGCGCTGTTACTAGTGCTGTGTACGGAACAGAGAAGTTATTAACCACATAACAGAAGAATTTCATTGCTGACATCGAAGATGTAGTGGACTGCGCTGTAGGACTTTCTGCTCACAAACTCATAGTACCTAATAATCCTAAATGCGAGCTACACATCAATCAGATAAACGGGAAGTGTTGCTGAATGCAGTTAAGAACTCAGAATGCAACTCAAGATTATGGAGTGAGGCCAAAATTGTACTGAAATTGAAATAAACAACAGTCCTACAGTCTACATACTATAATGCGACCATTTCGGCAATGCTATTGAAGCAAGCATTGAACCTATAATCCTAACATGAAATCTCCGTCGGACACCGAACACAGTCAAGTCCGTACGCTTCAAGGATAAGATAAAAACTAGTGAAAAATAGCAACACTTCAATGGTCTTCAGTGGAGGATTTCTCCCCTCCGGCAGGCTCTGTGGGTGGTTTCTTTACAGGTCTCCCCATCTTCCGCAAAGTCACCATCTGCTTCCGCCACTCCCCAACTGGAACTGCAGGAAAGCCAGCGTAGTCGCCAGGTATGTCGATGTTCGACATAACCCCACTCTTGGCTGCAATGCGAACCCTAGAAGTAACACTAATATGGTCAACAACTCCAGCCTTACCCCCAATCACAACATAGTCTCCAAGTGTAGCAGATCCTGCAATACCCACTTGCCCACACAACATGCACCCGCGGCCGATGACCGCATTGTGACCAATCTGCACAAGGTTGTCAATTTTGGTGTGATCTCCTACGGTTGTGTCCCGCCAGCTGCCGCGATCAATACACGTATTCGCTCCAATCTCGACATGATTTCCAATTTGCACTCGCAGCAACTGTGGCTTCTTGACAATTTCCCCACTACTGTTCTCCAAAAACCCAAACCCGTCCTGACCGATGCAAACGCCGGGATGCAGAATGCACGACGCTCCGACGGAGCAATTCTGCAACACAACATTATACCCTAAAATGGTGGATTCGCCCACAGAAACTCCCGGCCCCACGATACATCCAGCTGAAATGTGCGCGTTCGCTTCCACATGCGCGTTTGAGTCCACAAACGCCCCGTGCTCCACCACAACGGAGCTGTGCACCTCAGCTTGCGAGTGTACTGTACCCCCTCCGCTCTGCCATTTCACATACTCAGCCTTCCTTCCTTCAACCTCACAACGAAACCCCTCATACGTGCTCTTCCGTCGAATTCCTCCCGGGCATGGACTCCGAACCCTAATTCTGGCATGTGAATAGGAAAATCCTACAGCACATTGACCAGGGAGAATTTTGGTAAACGATCCGGGTGCAGATGGCAAGGGATGCGTACTGTACAGCGCCCGCCGTGCGAGCGACATCACTCTCATCATCGCATAACTCCTCCAAAACTCCACATCCACCCCCCCTAGACCCTATGTCCTAAACCCTTTAATACCCTGTCACCTCCACCGCACCCAACCCCGACATTCCGGTGTGATCCACAACCACAGTCGCATGAACAACTCGCCGGAGTTTCACTTCACGGCAAAAACGCAACACAGCACATCAGGCACACCAGCATCGAAGAATATTCCCAACGAAGCATATGGATAAGCAGCACTATCGATGTTCTACAATCGCCATGCGACTAAGTTTCCATTCCTGGAGTGTGCGACAAAACCCAGCAAACAAAATGGCTTGTGCATTGGGTTACCATGCCCAAGTTAGCGATGGACCCAAGCTTTCATTGAGTGCGTTGTCTCTCATGGAAGCTCGAGAATCTGCACGCTTCAGTGACACTCCAAACGCTATATTCTTAAGACTTTGTGGACATGTAACAAACTTGTGGGACAAACCAAATTCTGCAACAAAATACAGATCTGTAGACACACAACAATGCTGTATGTTGAACTGATTTCTACACAGAAACACGCATCTTTGGAAACAAGTTGGGCGAATTGGTGAAGAATGAAGTGTTACTTCACAGTTAAAGGGATTTTCTCGGAGCCATGGGGTTTGGTGTTAGGGTTTGTAGGACCCCACAATCGAGCACACCCACAAAACCATGATCACACTGAATTATCAATAGTTTCGATCTCGAAATGTTTGTCGTAGAGTGAGCTGTGTTGTGCATGAAGTTAGATGGAGTCCCCAGCGAAATACTTTCTTGATTGAATATTTCTTTGCCTTTTATTATATTGTATATGAGCAAATAATGAGTGTGTATATATATATATATATATATATATACATATACATATAATCATTGGAGCCCCTTGTTTTGTGAGTAATCTATCGATCAAGTAGACAAGTGGTGGCTCTCCTTCACCATGGGCCTTCGTTTTCATCAAAAAGGTTCATGTTTTGTGGAGTTCACAACCTGTTTTACAGTTGATCGAGGAGTTTCTCATGGTATTTTCACACAAATTTATGCACTTCATACTGTAATGCAATAATATAGACACTGGAAAGGCACATACATTGGAGAAGGCCCAGCATGTGTTTAAGTTGTGTGTTTCCAGTAAGAGCAATGTGTTCTGTGTGTTTCAAACATTGGTGTTTTGTCGAATTTATGAATTACGAATTATCATCATTGTGCTTTGCAATCAGAATTTCAGAAGAATTTCATCGTGGATCGTGCTTTTGGGAGGTTTCTTTGTTATCCCATCAGGGAAGAAGCAGCAGCATGGGCTTACAATCTTGCTGCTCAAAAATGTTGCTGTAATCAACTTTTGTACTGTTGTTACGGATGTATTCATTTACTCCAATTGTCTGGTGGAACTTTCTTCGAGGAGGCTGGAGTTCTAATTTTATGATATTTATGATATTGCAGTGAAATATTGCGGTGAGTATTGCTAAAATATTGAAAAATTTGTGTTTCTGTTTAGTTTTTTGAGTTTGTTTGTTTTTTTGTTCTTTGTTTTGTTTTGCTTTGTTTTTGTTTTAGATTTGATGTTTGGATTTGTTGTTGGACTGGTGAAATGTGGGTTCGACTGAAGTTGTGTTCATAAAACTGGATTTTTAAATTTTTTTATTTTCAAAAACAAATACTGTTGGGTTGTATGTGTGTGTGTGAAACTGGATTATGTGTAGGATTCTGTTTTAGATGTTGCATGAATGCGGAATGAAAATTTTATTTTGTAACGCTTTCGAAGCTAATGTTGCATTGCCTCGGTTGTTTTATGATATAGTACTTTGTTTTTGTGTTTTTGTTTAGCTTTTTGAGTTTGTCTGTTTGTTTGTTTGTTTGTTCGTTTTTTTTTTTTTTTTTTTTTTTTTCTGATGTTTGGATTTGTTGTTGGACTGATGAAATGTGGGTTGGACTGAAGTTGTGTGCATAAAACTAGATTTTTAAATTTTATTATTATCAAAAACCATTTATTATTTATAATATTTTATAATTTTAAGATAATATTTTTATAATTTATAATATTTGTAATATTTATTTTTAAGATAACATTTTATTTTATTATTATTTTATTTTTTATTTGTATTTTAAAGATTTTTTTAGAAATAGTTAATTTTTTTTATAGTTTTTATCTTTAAAGTTATATTTATAGATTTTATAATTTTCATATTTTTTATATTACATTTATTAAATTATGTTTCATATTATATCTTCATTGCAAACAAAATTCTTGAGCAACAAAGTTTTATTGGAATTATAGGAGTATTGTCAAAATAACAAGAATTAATGTATAAAAATTGAATTGTAGGAATTTCATTTCTTGCTCTTAAATGAAAATTTTATATTCAACTTCATAAGTATAAATATATATATATATATATATATATATATTTGTCTTTTTGTGTGTATAAATAAAATAATAAATATTTAATTATTTATTAAAAAATAAATTATTATTTATTTATTTATTTTATTTATTCATTTTGTTTTACAAAATATAATATTTTGAAAAAATTGAGCTTTTTGTTATAGCAAGTTGTTGTAAAAATATGTATAGTTGTAATTTTTACGAATGTATAGATGTAGAATATTTTTATTAAAGCTTTGTGGCATTATAATTTGACTAATTAAGCTATATGTGTTCATTTTCATTTTACAAGTACTATGAAATTTTGCTAAAATACTTGAGTAACAAAGGTTTTATTGGAATTTTATGGAAGTATAATTTTGATACTTACAAGCTTACCTCAATTGTTTGGTAGAACCCGTGTCATTATGAACGGTCCAGCTTTAACAATGAATCGGAGAGTAATTGCTCGACGACAATGTAAGGAACTTGAGAGTATAAAGAGAAGCTAAAATAGTTACAAGTACTGAAGCCATACATAATTTAGGAAGGATGAATGTTTTATCTTCATTGTAACGCATTGCATTGATTTGTTGAACATTTAGCTTGATTGCCAAGGAAGTTGCCATTATTTGGACAATATTGTCATCAAAGAAAAGTTTCTCTACCATCTCTACCTTCTCCACTTTTGCTTTTAAATGCCTATTTTAGAATCAAGATGCAAGAGCAAAGGAATTCTAAGAAAATATCCTTGAGTACAATGTTGCTTATGCATTTACGTCCTTATGTGCAAATATTGATTGATCTATGCTTTATAGAAATGCTCCATACAATTTTAGGATAATTGGAGAGTTGCACCATTTAGTGGGAGCATTGTTACTAGAAGAAGAATTTGTTCTAAGTTATGCACAACTTTATATCTATGATGCATGATTTACACAAGATAGAAGAATGAGTCGAAATCGTAAATTATTGAACCAAACTATGTAGAAAATTAGAGAAGTTTTGATAGAGAATAATCCATTTATTGGATTATATAGACATACTCATGAAATATTATCTCAAGCACACAATGAAGGAATAGTGGAAGTAGATCTTGTTGTTTTTTTGCACTTCATGAATACGAGCGATAGACACCAATATAAACTTTCTACCACTTTTGAAAAAATTGCTATTATATTACTTAGAAATGGATTAAAGCATAAAGTACTTCATGATATTATTATTTGTCTACATAGTAATGGGCTATTAGAAAGGATTTATGAAGCTCATCCTGCTTATTTGCCCCTTCACTGTGTTCTTTTTTTTCCACATGGAATCCTTAGATGGCATCCTGACCTAAGGGTACAAACTATAGTGATGGATATTGTTGAAGAAAGAGAAGATACTGGACGAGAGTATTGGAGAAGCAATAACCTTATACAAATGGATTATTTTGCTTATTAATTTTTTTTAAGGCCTATTGATTATTCTATAATTTTGTGTAGAAGAAAGCTATTACAAGAATTTATGGTTGGCAGATGGACAACGACTAAGCTATCATATTTGTAATATCTATGTTACAATCAAGGAAATCTACGTACTAATTTATACCAAGAATTGGTGGATGCTATTATAACTCATTAAAGTATTAGACTTGAAGAAGGACAGTATGAATTAAATAATTTAGGATGTAGGATCTTACTTCCATCATCTTATATTAGAAGTACAAGTTATATGATAGAAATACTTCAATATTCTATGGCAATTATAAGGTTTTTTCAGCATCTTGATATTTTTATGACAGTGCTAGCAAATCCAAGATGGTCCAAAATCCAAAATGAATTGCTTCAAGGACAACAAGCAAGTAATCAGCTAGATTTGGTTGCCTATATATTTGAGATCAAGGGTCGTAATTATGAAAGATATAAAGAAAGGAATTGTCTTTGGTCATATTGTTGCACATGTTTATATCATTGAGTTTCAAAAGAGATGTTTATTTCATATATACATCTTGATTTTTTTGGATAGAGAAAGTAAGATTAGATGCCCTAAAGATGTAGATCATATGGTTTCTAGAAAGTTCTCAGATAAAGACAATGATTGAGAGCTATTTGAAGTTATTCTACAATGCATGGTATATGGTCCATGTAAAATGCAAAATCTTGAAGTGGCTTGTATGGAAGATATTCATTGTACAAAGATGTATTCAAAGATATTTATTGAAGAAACAACAATGGATGCCAATGGATACCCTTAATATCAATGAAGAAATAATATAAGAACATTTGAAGTTTGAGGAATGGTTGTTGATAATAGGGATGTTATTTCATTTTGTCCAAAACTATCTTAGAAGTACAATTGTCATATTAATGTTGAGGTATGTGCATCTATTTGTGCCATCAAGTATATTCACAAATACATCTATAAAGGCCATGATTGCATTACAATGTAATTTGAAAACCAACAAGATGAGATCAAATAATATTTGGATACAAGATACATTGGAATTCCAGATGCTATTCGAAGACTTTTTGGCATGCGGATCCATAAAGAAATGCCAAATGTTGTTTGCTTAGCCATTCATCTTCTAAAAATGCATGAAGTGGTATATGATCTAAATGATGAAGTAGCTTCAATTTTAGAACATGCTCAAAGACAAAAGACAATATTAACTTCATTTTTTGATATGTCTATAGCAATTGTAGTGGCAAGATAATATACATATCAATAATTTTTACAATATTTTATTTGGCATAAGACAAGAAAGATGTGGACATTAAAAAAATGTAGATTTGATATTTAAAGTTTATATTTTGTAAATCACGTAATAGAAGAAAGATATTATTTGAGGCTTCTATTAATCCACGTTAAGGGTCTACAATCATTTGAGCACTTAAAGATTATTCATGGAATCTGTCATCCAAGATTTAAAAGTGCATGTGTAGCTTTAAGATTACTTAAAGATGATGGAGAGTGACAACAATGTTTAGAAGATGCATTAAGAATATTAATTAGAACTCAATTGAGATGAGTTTTTTATATTTTGTTGTTACATTGAAATCTGCTAAATCCATTAAACATATAGAAAAGATTTTGGAAAAGCATCTTAAATGATCTCAATGCCCGTTTGCAAAGAGAACATGGAATTAGTAATCCAATGGATGAACAAATTAAGAATTTTAGACTTTTTTTGATGAATAAGATTTTGCAAGACTCCAATAGAACGCTTACACATTTTCTTCCAATGCCATTACCAAGAAACAATTGGAATGCAAGAATTAATGAATATCAATTTATTGCTTAAGAAAGAATATAGGACATTCAACAATTAGA